TTTGGTTTGCTTGGCTCCATAATCAACACTCTTGGCACCAGCAGTCAGGAAATTAAAAGACGTTTTGCAATGGGGAAGTCTGCAGTTAGTGACCTCTCTAAAGTACTGAAGTGCAAGGATGTCATTTTGGAGACTAAGGTGCACCTGGTACATGCCATGGTCTTTGCAATCACTTGCTATGCATCAGAGAGCTGGACAATGACTAGGGATGATAGAGGTAGGTGTGTTGAAGACAGTGAGATTGGCGCAGGATAGGGCAGAGTTTAGGGCTGTTGTCCATAGGGTCGCTATGAGTCGCAGGCTACTCGATGGCACATAACAACAACAGCATGGCAACCTCTGTGATCTAAATTAGGTGCTGACATTGCCAAGTTGAGTCATAACCGACTCATAGCTGACTCTTCAGCCAAATTGCCTGGGAGGAGATTTATCATCTTTCTTCTGTGGGCTGCTAGTGGATTTGAACTACCAAAAGCACACACAGCCTTTGGGTTTGAATACCCCCTGCAGACTATACCACAGAGCTCTCTAAGTTGGCTGCTAGTTACTGTGTGCTCTCGAGTGGGAAGCAAACCATAGCCTACCCTCCAGCTGGTTTTCACAGGCAGTAAATCACATGGGAGGGGATTAGCTATCCATCTTCCATAGAGCAGTTGGTGGATTCGAACCACATACTTTTGGGACTGAAATGCTGTCTCTCACCACTAGGCCACCGTTGGGAGCTAGTTTGTCCAAATAAAAAGTCCTTGGCCAACGAGATGAAAGTTTGAATAGAAAACACAAAGGACTCCCAGGCAGTGTTGTACAAGTTATTTTGGCCAATTTGGCATTCCAGGAAGTGAAGGAGTGAAAAACTATTCATTAATTTAAAATTACAATAAAAACTAGTTACTAGTGTGCGGTGGAGGGAGCCTTGGGGTCTAGTCCAGAGGGAGTCGTGTTGTCAATCCAAAGGCTTCCTTTGCCTCTCCAGCAGTTCAAATCCATGAGTAACCTCCCATGTGATTTACCACCTCAGAAGACCAGAGGACAGTCTTGAGGTGGTTCTGAGCCCATAGCAACGTGTTGATCATGTGGTAAGCCCTATTTTTAAAGCAGAAATAAAAAGCATATTGTTCCAAATGATTTGGAACCACATGATTTAGAACCATTCAGGAACTATGCTCTGTGTTCCATGTCCGTCATCCTCCAGTTACCTCAGAATTTTCTAAGAAATTAGCCAGAGGCATGTTAAGGTCATTAAGTTGAAGTGTGTCAAGATGACCAAGCCCTTAGGCCACCTCTTTTTTTATTTATTTTATTTTAATTCTTTTGTGTGTGTGTACCGTCAAATCAGATCTGACTGGTACAGGAGGAGATTGCCCCTCTTTCTCCAGCAGAGCATCTGGTGAATTTGAACTGCTCACCTCTGGGATTGCAGTGCAGTGTTTTGCCACTAGGCCACCAGAGCTCAACAGGTCATGTCTTTATCTCAAGAAACCATCTGTGCTTTGATGTTTTGCTTCCTGGAACATATATATAAAAGAGCACATCCAGCCCACACTAAGCCACCTGTCTGCCTTGTGCCCACTTCTGGACTCTGTGTCTCTAAGTCTTCATTAAAGCTGTATGACTTGATAGGGTCATTTTTTTGGCGGTGTTAGCACTAATTTAACTTTGGGCTTAAACTCTGGGTATGTTACTATTTTTTTTTTCCAGCAAGCAAACGATATTATGTTTGTTGTTGTTGTTGTTGTTAAGTGCCGTCGAGTCGCAGGCGACTCATAGTGACCCTATGAAGGAGAGTCCTTGACACTTGGGTGCCTTTCATCCTCTCTCCAAGTTCATAGGGTTTCCGGAGACAAGCTGTTATGGAAGTGGACGCCACTCGTCCTTCCACGATATTATGTTTATTAATGATAAATTACCAGAAATTCTTAAGCTTTGGAATAAAGTCTTTTATGAAGTCACCTTGAGAGTTTTTGTAATATCCTCCACATTTTAATAACAGATGCTAGATAGAATCCATAAATCACTGCAGTTACATTGAAATGTTTCTTAAGCATTTACCTGAGATCTAAGGCAATTAACCATTAACAGCCCTCAGACTTAGAAATTCAAACATTAAATATTAGCTAGTCATTGATTACTAGAACCAATAAACGTATTTGAGAAGAAGTGATGGCAAGAATGTTCTTTAGAAATAAGGATGACAATCACAGGAGACTAGAGCGAGGGCTGCATGGTGGAGGGGACCTGGGGGAGGGTTTATAAAACAATGAAAGAATCTTTTCTTTTACTTTTCCATAATTTTTGGACTCATGTACTTATAACTTGTTAGTCAAATTTGTGTCTTCTAGGTTGCAACACCCCCATGATACATCTTCAAGGATATGTACATGTACAGCCAAGCACAATCAATAAGAGTGCATCTGAATTCCAAAATCAATCTCCATAATAGTCTATGTGTTTCCTACTGCCAAAGGGGCCCTTTAGAGTAGTGAGAGAAGATCTTCACCCTGAAACCCACAGCGTCCCTTTTCAGCAGGAAGTAGCTAAGAGAATACGCCGTCCCCTTTTCCTTATGACTCAGGGTGAAGTCTCTCTCAGGGAGGAGTGATAGGGAATGGCAAAGGATACACTGACAAAGAAGATTAATCAGAACTGGCTTTGACAAGCACTGTGGCATTTGGACAAGAACAAACTGGGAGGAGGGTAGAGAGAATAATGCAACAATGAATGAGTGGAAGCCCAAAATCTCTGTAAATGTTTATGAAAATTAATAAAATATAATTATAATTTTAAAAAAAAAGAAATAAGGATGACAAGACTTCATCTTACATACTTTGGACATATCATCAGGAGGAACTACTCTGAAGGATATTATACTGGGAAAAGCAAAGGTTAGTGAAAAAAGAGGAAGACTTTAATAAGGTGAATTGACACTGTCAACTATTTGAGCCCATTTGCAGCAATGGACTCAAATCTAGCCATGATTGTGATGCTAGCACAGGACCTTGCACTGGCCACTATGAGTGGAGACTTACTCAATGGCACCTAACAAGAAGAAAAACTGGTTGCTGAGAGAAAAAGTTACCTTAGACACTACGGTTTAACTAATCCTTGGTATTTATTTTCTTTAAAAAAAAATTAAGTACCTATACTTTTTTCCTCTAAACACTGCTGATCCCAGAAGTGCTTTTACTCTGGGATGTCCTCAATTCCTAGAAGACTCCCTGGATGCTTTTAAGTCTTAGCCATAAAGGCTAATATATTTCCTAGCCTGCTTCCTAACAATGCAAGGTATAATTAAGTATCTTAACAAAGAGACTATGAGTGAGTTGCATAAATTTTTCAGCTAATTACCTGCAACAGCAAGGAAATGCCAATCCTTGTTTTCAAATCACCTCATACCTGATTCAACTCCTGGTATCTTACTGTGGTTAATTCACCATGCTTTCTTGCCATAATCATATCACAACCATATCACGTCAGCATATTACTAACCACTCAGTTTTATTCTTAGCAGTATGGCACCAAACCAAACCAAACCAAACCCCTCAGTTTACAAAGTGAGCCTCAAAGCTTTATTTTGTTTTAAGATTTCTACTTCCAGCCACCCTATTCTTTTAAATGTTCTTCAAATATTTTTTTTGAAAAATCCTTATCAATCACCCAAATCAACTAACTACTTTGGAATCATTTCTTTACTCTGACTGTAGTGATTCTGATATGCCAGAAGTGACAATATCCCTGTGACTTGTGCCAAACAGCCAATTCTGCCATCATCTTGGTCCTCTTCCGTCCATACTTAAGGACTAGGTCTATCTTGGGACCTGAACATGTTCTGAAGTTGCTTTTGCAATTTCTCACTAGCTATTTGGTGCTGTCAGGGACAGAGACAGGGATTGAGTATCAAGTTGCAGCTTAGCCAACACCACATCACAAATTTTCAGAGGACATTCTCCCTCAGGGCAGTCCTGTCTACACAGGTCTGGCACAAAGGTGACAGCAAGCGGCATGTTGAAACATCTTTCCAAATGCAACCTACTCTGGATATTGTATGTTTAATAAAGTTACAGCTGTGCTCTTTTCCCCACTAGACAATTCCCCTGACTGTACAATATGGGGTCACCATGAGTTAGAATCAACCAGGTGGCAACAGGCAGAGAGAGAGAGAGAGAGAGAGAGGTAGGGACAGAGAGAGGAAAAAAATGACAGTTAAAAACAGGATTCCTGGGAGTGGCATTCTTAGGGAGTTGCACTCCTAACCCAAAGGTGGCGCCTCTGGCATGTTATTCCCATCAGCTGCTCCCTGGGAGAAAGATGGGCTATCTCCTCTTAGGCGATTTTTTGTTGTGTGCCCTCGGGTCAGAACTGACCCATAGCCCGGGGCTAGTGACTCCAACAGCGAGCCTTCGGGACTGCAGCGCAGCTTCTTAGAGCTTCTGCAAACCCGCTGGAAGGTCAGCTATGAACTGGTTCCGAAGAGACGGCAATGATCTGAGTCGGTCCTCTTCGAAGGACTTGTCTGAGTCGTGCCAAATGTACGCGTCTTACTTTCAGAACGCTGTTCAAATGAGGTAGCTGCCACTCTCCCAGCCCCCCTCTTCCCCAGCTTGTCGAAAGCGGAACCCCCACATCCATCTCACTAACAAAGCCGCGGATTCTAGCTACCCACTCCTTTCGCTCAGCGCCCTGCATCCTCAGCAGAGCGGCGGCGCACCCAGGGGTGCTCTCTGGGGGAGAGGAGCTGCGGCGGCGGGGTGGGTTCTAGCCAGTAGAGGTTCGAGGAGGCTCTGACATTTTCCAGACCTGTGGCTTTGGTCAGGCTCCCAGACTGCCCTAAGACAGACAGGTAAAGTGGTGCTAAACTGGGTGCTTGTAGGAGTGTGCAGACGCCCGGGCATCCCTCCCCGTCGCCCTGCGCGGGCGGTGCAAAGTCTTGGGGGTGGCCTGCTTCTGCCGCCCCGGCCGCCCGGGTCCCAGGCCCCACCGGCCGCCCCTCGGGGAACGCTCACCTCCGGAAAGCCTCCTGCAGGATGATGCAGGCAGAGCCGGCCGTGGAATTGGGGCCGTGGCTGAAGTGGAAATTGCCGGGCGAGAGGTAGAGCAGGCGCGGGGTCATAGTCACGGAGAGCGGCAGGGGCCACAGGGCCACGGCGTCCGAGGCCTGCGCCACCAGCACGGGCGCCAGCAGCACGAGCACGCCGAGCAGCAGGCACAGCGCGCGCGCAGGGCGCGGCGACAGAGGTAGCAGCTGCATGGCCTCTCTCCGCTCTGCCCGGTGTGAACGTCCTTCGGCCTCTGGTACTTGACTTCTCGGCTCCGCCCCGCCAGAATCACGAGTCAGATGACAGCGAGGCCGGCCCCGCCCTGGGCTGTCTCTCCGCCCCAAAGCCACCTCCACTTCCCCACAGTGGCCCCTTGCATGCAAAACTCCAATGCAAGCCAATTCTCCTGCAAGCCAAGAACTTTTCCTTCGTCGTAGCTGAAATCTACAACGAAGCTCAGAATAGCAAACTCAGTGCGTGGAGTCCATTCCACTCCTGGCGACTGTCCATTGTGTCAGTAAATACTTAAGAGAAGCAACTGCCCCTGTTTCTCCCTTGGAGCAGCTGAATTCCGATCAGGCACTTTTCCCTTAGTAGGCCCAATACGTAAAGCAGTACGCCACCGTCAGGGCTCCTTAACCACAAACACAGAGTGGACAAACTAAAAACAAACAAAAACAAAACGTGGGGATGCTGACCCAGTGCCAGATTATCATTCCTGCTTGTAACAGCGACTGGCTTCAGTGAAATAGAAGTCGTTGTTGTTAGGTGTCGTCAAGTTGACAATGACGACTCCTCAACTCATAGCCTCCCTGGACCCTGTCTTATTCTGTGCCGCCCTCAGCATCTCTGACGTGTTTGAGTCTAAAGCTGCAGTCATTGTGTCAATCCATCTGGTTGAAGGTCTCCGTTTCTTCTGACCTTTCCAAACATGATGTCCCTTTCCAAGGAATAGCTTTTGCTAGTAGAAAGCCCAAACTGTGAGAGATGAAGCCCTGCCATCTTTGCCTCCAAAGAGCGCTCAGGCTGCACTTTCTCCCAGAAATATCTGTTTGGTTTTTGGCAGTCAATGGTATATTCAGTACTTTGCTCCAAGGCCACAGTTCAAAGGCAACAACATTTCTTCCATTATCTTTCTGCACGTCACACTCTCAGATGCATAGCAAGTAAGTGGGAAGTCCACGGCCTAAATCAGGAACATCTCAGTAGTCAAAGACATCATTGATTGATAATGACTGCAGACTTTCCCAGGGCAATATGTCTCCTAATCTCCTGAGTGCCACTTTGACTCAGGCAGTCATGATATACATTCTGGGAATTAAAAATTGCATTCATAGTAAAAAGGACAATTTCAACATCTATGCTGAAGTATAATGCTCCAAGTGATAGGATACTATCCATATTCAAATATAAGCACCAAAAGCTAAAGTCAAAGATTAAGAAATTGAGTTCTGCTAACTTTTGCAGTCTGAAAAACATGCACTCAAGATTCATTAATTGGTAAATGGAATGCATAAATTGGAAACAAAGTAGAAAGATTGGTAGTGGAAAACCCTATGAACTTTTATAAAT